ATTTGGAATGACTCTTCCGGGCCTTCTGAGAAAGAAGGCCTGATTGCTGGGAAGGGGTCATGAGACCATATCTCAAGGCCTGGCCTGATGTCAGCACCTTCCTATCTGTGTGTTTTAGGAACAGACAGCACAGCATGACCCGTTTGGCCGAAGTGCCAGATATGCAGCCCAGTACAGAGCCCTCGGCGAGGCGCCTGCATCCACTAAAACAGTGGGTCTCAACCTTGGCTACACATTAGAATCACCTGGGAATCTTTAAAATCCTGATTTCTGGGCCCAGCTACCCTCATCTGAGGATGAGGCCCAGAAATCAGGATTTTAAAAAGATTCCCAGGTGATTCTAATGCGCAGCCAAGGTTGAGAACCACTGCACTAAAACGTCAGCACGTGGTGGTTGTTCCTGTAGGAGACACAATCAAGGAGCACCTCAGCCCCCACTCCCAAATGAAAACGCTCTGGAAAGTCCACCCCAGGCACAGTGACAACTTCTCTTCTGGAAAGGAGTCGATCCCTTTGCTTCCTGCCTTTTGGCTGATCCAAGGAGATTTTCCAAGGGGTGGCCAACAATCGCATTTCTCCAACATGTGTTAGAGAGCCAGCGACCCAACCAGGAGGGGCCCTGGGCTTGGCTTATTCAGGTGAAGGCAAGATGCATCCTTCCCCTGGGTCAGGAGTGGAATAGAGGTTTTCTCCCCTTTGACAGGTCAGCTTTGAAACATGCACCTACTGACAATGAAACAGGGTCATTGGTGAAAGGCAATGCGAGATTTAACCAATTGCCAGCATCCAACTGCTCCTCCAGCCGCACTTTCATTATGATAGAAAAGTCAGAACATGAAAATGTCGTTTATTAAATCATTGGTCCTAACAGTAATGTGTTGGCATACTTCCAATATCTGTAGCATTGTACTATTCACCTGAGCTAACTTACAAGATGACCAAGGAATGTGGGAAGACCAGGCCGTCAGGCACAAGAATCAGATTCTCAGGGTAAAAAAGAAACATGAGAGATGCTAAAACTCGCTGGAGGGTTGCCCAATTACCCCCGTTTGATCTCGGTGGCACTTTACACCCGGGATGTTGTCTCACGCTCTATGTTTATTAGAATACTCCGAGTTTCCTAGCTGCCTGGCCCTCTGACCTGAGAGCCGAGTGGCTTGAGAGAAAGGCAGGTGAGCCGCAAAGGGAGAGCAGCCTCCCTCGCCCACCTGCTCCCATTCCTGGAGACATTCAGTGATCCTCCGACGGAAGAGGGTGCGCCTCGGCGACATCTTCCTGCCAGAAACTTAGGAACCTGGGAAAGAAATATTGTGGGAGGCGCTGAGACAAGACTGATGAAAAATTGCTGTTTATCTAACCTGACACCAAAAATAACAAAAAGTATTTGGGAATCTCGGGCCCCAGCAGTTCTGACAGGTGGGAGTGCTCACATCAGCAGCCTAGCAGAGGGCTGACGGAGCAGGGCTTGGTCGGGTAGGACAGAGGCGTAAGGCAGGGTCTTTCCGTGGAGAGGTTGTGCCAGCAGGAGGCTGGGTTCCAGCAGGAAGGTTGGGGTTCCAACAGGAGGCTGAGGTCCAGCAGGCCTGGCGGGGTTCCCGGGGGAAATGAATCGAGCCCTGGCTCCACCTGCGCCCACGCCATGCAGGGATCTGAGTTTCTTTTATTTTTTTTAATATATTTTATTGACTTTTTACAGAGAGGAAGGGAGAGAGATGGAGAGTTAGAAACATCGATGAGAGAGAAACATCGATCAGCTGCCTCCTGACATCCCCTACTGGGGATGTGCCCACAACCAAGGTACATGCCCTTGACCGGAATCGAACCTTGGGACCCTTGAGCCCGCAGGCTGTCGCTCTATCCACTGAGCCAAACCGGTCAGGGCAGGATCTGAGTTTCTTTAGGTCTCTATGCTTCCGCACAGGGTTTGGCTTATACTAATAAGAGCCAATGGTAACAGAGTATTTCTTCTTCTCCTATTTATTGTTCTAGCAGCTCCTACACGTGTCTCCAGCGATCTTTTTCAGGCTCATTTGGGTGGAGTGAGGGTCTGGGTGAAAGAGGTCGGGAACTGTTTATCTGGCTTTCCCTAAACACTTTAAACAAACTAAGTCAGTGGCTGGTTCCAGATTCCTGGGACGATTTCAGAAGTTCCTCTGTCTCTTCCCACAACTTCCCGTGAGGACCCTCCTCCCCTTCCCTCATGGCGTCTACTCCCACTTCTGCGATTTTATGTGCCTTTCTCCTGGAACTCTGTGAAGCCCCTACCTGTGACAGTTCCTAGTGCGGAGCTTAGTCATCTATAGAAGATAGTATAGAGGTGTGGAGAGCGGCTACAGTGTTTGGACAGGTTCAAGCCTCGGACTAATGAGAGGGCACAGTCCTCTCATGGCCACGTGCAAGTCCCAGCTTGGAGGGCAGGGCCCTCCCAGCACAGTTATAGCCAACAGCTGTAGTTGTAAGCTTGAACCTATGGCCTGAGCACCTGGCCCCACGTGCCTGAGTGATGTGGGCTTGATAGAGTGCAGCTGCGTGTAACTGAGTAGCATCAAAACCCATGAGAATGTTGTAAACATCCTGACCACGCCCTTACTTTTGCCTCGTGGAATCTGGCTATAAAATAAAGACACAGTTTGTAGGCCGTGATGCTGTCTCTCCATCAGAGAGGAAGGACAGTATCCCACCCAGACCCAGCTTTCTGCTCTTGTCTGTCTTTCCTCAATCCTTCACTGCCCCCTCTCGGGGTCACTAAAACAGGCTGAGCTGGAGTGGCACATAAGGTGCCTTGGGGCTGAGTATGCCATGGCCATGCCGGCTCGCCACATAGAGGGTCCAAAAGTCTTACTGCGGATCTAAACTTGAATGGTTTTAGAAGTGTGAATACTACAAACTTAGAAAAGCCAGCACTGTAAAGGCTACTAATTTAACAAACGAATATCTTCCTTATTGCACTCAAAATCACCACTCTCTAGTGCTAGTGGTCGCAGTCAGTTCTCAAAATGCAAAAACTGGGCAGCAGCAACTGAAAGAACTGCATTTGGAGACCATTCAGAGAACAAGAACCCACGGGTCCGCTCCCTGACCCGCGGCCTCAGGTCTGAAGGAGCGGGGAGTGAGCCGGAGGCCTCCTCCATTGAGCCACCAGTCTGACCATCCCGACACTGTCACCCACGGCAGAATGAAAAACTAACATGTGCTATACAACATTCTCAAAGCTGAGAAAGTGTACAACCCTTAATAGCTTACACTTTCACATGCTGATTTCTGTAAGGTTAGAGGATTTATACTTCTGATTTGGAAACACATA